GGGTCTTGTCCATCAGTGTAAGTTCCAGTAGTATCTTGTGACATACAGTGATACGCAGACTCTTTGCTGGAGGATTCCTCTGAGGTGGAGGATAGTACCGAGTCTGGTGTATTGCTGGCGTGTGTATGTCCGGGGTCCTGTGTCGTAGCGGTGTGTTCAAATGAAAACTCCGATCCGGGTATTACTGATCTACGATGGCCACGTGAAACCACTGCCGTCGCCTTTTTCCGCGGTTTACTCTCAGAGTCCTGGCCCGTGGTGCCGTGACTCAGGTGCAGTCGCTTGATGGGCGGATTCAGATGCCCATCGGTACTGCAGATAGGCTGGATGGTGACGGAATGGTCACGCTTTGTACGCCGATGGTACAGCTCTTCAAAGAACTTATCTGGCAACCATGACATCCAGTTGGCCAGATCGCAGTTGAGTACAAACTTATGCCAGTGCCGAACCTCAGTGGGACCCATGCGCACCGGTTTCAACCACTGAAGGACCCCAGGACATTTCTCAACCAAACGCCGATCGTTGGATTTGAAGGTTTCACTACGCCGTTGCTGAAATGACTCCTGCAGTTGTTCGTAGAACTTTCCCAACACCGTCAGGATTATTAGGCGCCCTTGCTCTTTGCCTCTGGCAAACCCGGGTGAGTCTTTTTTCCCCGAAAGCTTTGGCCTGGATGGATGTCGAATGCCCATGGCCTCTTCGTACTGTGCTAGGATCTCTTTGAAACTGTCAAGTCTCCCGCGCCGAGGACACCAACGAAGCTGTTCCGTGACCTGCCGGAAGTCGCCCATGTCCACAAGTTTCTGAATGCTGGCGAACTGTTCGGCACTGCAGAGCTTCTCTAGGCGCTCGAGGCAGAGCTGGATTTCCGCCCAGACCTTGACAAACTCGCTGTCGACCATGGTCATTGTTCGCCGTTTTCCCCTGGGCGAGTCACCGTCGGTTGTGCACAGATACTCCAGCAAGCGCTGCTTCTCAATGATCATGCTCAGCCGGCGACTGTTCTCCCTGGTGGCTTTGTTCCTGGACAACGGTCTCAGGAAGTGGAGGAGGTCATCCCACTTGCCGGTAATCACTGAACGTCGGATAAACGCTATGTCAGAGTGTGGCTCCCAGTTGCCATTGGTGACCCCTGTTTCCTCTTCCAGTGCCAGAAGGGACTTTGGCAGGCCAGCTTCGTCAAAGTACCCCAGTATCAGGTGCACCAGGTCTGCCTCCTTCACACGTGACTCAAACTCAGGATCCATCTTGTGTACAGTAACTAAACTTGTACTTGTAATCCGTGGCTACTTACACGGATGACGCGTGCATGCTACTCACGTCACACATAATAATATGATCCCGTTGGGCAATTTTATTATTCTACTTGAGTCAGTCACTGCATGGTTTGGCCGGTTCAGCAGCACACATCGGTCTCAGTGGCATTGGCGTAGTCTGCATGCCTGATGGGGAACATCGTCAGTGACGTTCAATCTACCGGCCGACTGACCAGTGTCCGGCAGCGCCGCTTGGACGGGAGGAACTGAATATCACCTTCAGCTTCTCTGCGGTTCCGCAACTCGTCTCCTTGCCTTGTCGGCCATCCACATTCAAATTGAAATGGCAAGTACATGCACATATGCATCTACAAGACTTCGTCTTTCGTTCAATTCTTTCTAAAAATTATCTACCGACGCCGCTTGCAGTTGTTCATAAGAAAGCCACCACTACTGCACTCAGGCACAAGTAGATAAAGCAAAATACTTGCACCTGGTCAGCACTGCGTTTCGTTGTGACTGGTATGTGCAGAGCGACGACTGCTTGCTTCAAGTTCAAGCCAGTACAACACACAGAGAATGGCCCGAGACTCGAGAGCAGATATTCCGCTCGCATCGTCGCAGCGTTCGTAGGTCTACTGACTGCACTGACGGCCTTGAAAAGCCTTCAGTGACTTCACTCCAGCTGCGCACTGACTTGCACTGTGCATGGCCCTGGGGGACAATGTAGATTCTCGCGCAGCATTGCGGTGGTGAACCGTGGTGAACACTGCACTGATGCAGTGAACATCATGATGATGGCACCCACAGTACTACCCTTACCATGATTACTTAGCGCACAAGTAGTGACATGATTACTTATTATTTGTATCAGTGAAGATTACTGCCACTGTTTTTCACATACGAACATAGGCATAGGCCAGTATCATAGGGTGCCTCCGTGGTGTGAACAGACAGTAACCAGTAACACTAACAGTTCCTGAACTAACTTTACTTTCTTGATGGCTACAGTTTCGTGGGAATCGTGGGTCGCAGGCGAGCTACAGTCAGTACAGAGTCAGAGGCTAGCTGACTGGGCTAGCGGTGGGACGTTATCACTACTATCACTGGCACGGTACTCGTAGGCATCAGTCAGTGTGTTAGTACTGTTACTTCCACTGAGTCTGTGCCAGAGCCGAGACGGCGAGAGTACATAACCCTACTACTCTTGGACTTGGTGTCACACAACGCTGTACTGCCTACTGGTGAATACCAGCAAGTAATAGTTTGTTATCGTGTTATCACTCTTCTTATTTTCACGGTAAGATTGCCAAATCCTGGTACATACAGGTGCTCTAGTAAGCCTCGGAGCGGCTCCGAGGCTTCGAGGCTTTTTTAAGCAAAGAATCCTCTGCTTTTTTTGTGCGTGTGTTAATACTATCAGTGAGTTGGTAATGACTAATGGTCACAGGCTTGCTTGCAAGCCCATGCATGATTGTCGAGGTAATGCGGTGGCCGTGCAGTGCTATTGAACTAACGCCACGGGCCTTGGCTTTGGGACCTGCTTGAAAAAAACACAAACCCAAAGGAAAACCGCTGAACGACAAATCCATTGGACCGAGGTCGCACACGCCATACCTCCTCATGATGACGACCAAGGTCCTGTGCTTGGTCCAATGTCCTATGCTTGGTCCAAGGTCCTATGCTTCATACCGGCCACCATGTCCCGTTGTAAATCATAATGGCCGCTAGCGCTACCATGTCTGACCCGGGCCGTTATCATGGTTATGTGTCGAAATGTAAACTGTAATGGCTGCCAGGGGGTAGGCAGTGCTCTGGCGGATGCGTGCGTTTCCGGCCGCCCCATCGTTTACAGTGATTGCTGCCTCAAAAGTCAAGCTGGTATCTTCTGTATAACTGATGCTGTACTTCACCGTCGGTCATGAGAATCATGATGATGAAACTTACTTGAAAAGCAAGTTTCTCACTAGACGACATACCGGCATACTATTCAGCACCTGGCTTTGCGTGGCCTTGAATGAGAGCGGCCTCGCATATGCCGGAGCGCTTGAACACACAAGAACTATTTTCTCTTTCCGTTCTTTGCAAACACAGGCCCATGCTGGATGAAACATTTTCTAAATTTTGCTACACAATCGTACTCTTCATGCATTTGCATGTTTGCTTGGCGCTCGTACCGTCCCTCACGATCAAAAGTTTCAGGATGTTTCATCCTGTGTTTCCAAAACCGCCGATAAAGAGAACTCATTGCTCATTTGAGCCACACTCGTTACCTGATTTGAGGCTATACGACTCCCTGCTCAGTACTAGTAGTATTTGACCAAGGCATGTAGCCATGTACCGGCTGACTGGTTTGAACGATAAGCTATGTAATGTATCTCGACGCGCACTAGTAAGTACTATTAGTTGTCTCCAGTAAGTCGTCGGCGCCTCTCGTTACTAACGTAACCTAGGCGACAGTCGTTACATGTAGTGCATGTACCACTCATAGTCATAGAGTAATTTACTATTTAGCCGAGGACAGAAGTGCCGACATCTTGCAATGTGTGGATGGAATTAGAACGGGTGTATCACCCTGCAGTGTGGATGGAATTAGAACGGGTCACGGTGTATCACCCTGCAGCAACTCTATTACTTGTCACATTTTTATAAAGCTGGAAAGGTTTTCTAATTGTCCGTTTAATAATATGAGGCTATTAAAAAACCCATACTGATAGGAACCTGATGAAACTTGAAAGCAGCCAGGGTTCTGGATGCGACAGTTTGAATGTCAGAGACCACTTGTACTCATACGTCGTTATTCGCTGTGGTGAGTGATCGATGGCTAATGAAGTAAACAACTTTTTTTAAAGAGCTTGCCGCAAGTTGCATTTCCGCATGTCACCTAGCTCTCGATCAGTCTGGCCCCAGGTAAGAGCAGTGGGATGCCCCAGGAATTCCTACACGAAGCCTCTCAGATAGTCTTTTGCAACGGCTAATGGCCTATTGTGCGGCCTCCTTCATCTTTATTTCAGCAATTACCAAGGGTAGACTACCCTGTAGTACTAGGCTGTAGCAAGACTCACAATCTGTGTGGGGATTTCCCTAGAAAAGTAATAATATGTGTACATGACATTGTACAATGACAACTTAGTTACAACTCTACTGCTCTTTAAAAATAGCAGACTGTGTTGTCATCTGTCTCGGTCTCCATGATTAATGTGACGATGATTTCAATACTCATCGGGGAGTCGCATGAACCCCTTTTTTGGCTTTTGCGTTTATACGACTCCTAGCTACATGTATAAGCCTTACCTGAGAAGTTTCTGCAAATGATTCTCTGGAACTTGTGCAGGTCTTATGAATACCAAATGATCTGTTTGCGTTTGTCCACTACAATCAAACCCGCTCACCAATACCCAAGCAACCAACCATTGACACTGACTCAAGGCATCATGCAATCGTAGGCGAAAGGTGACTTTGTGCGCCTCGTGGAAGTGTATTATTGAGACTCGCTGATACTGGGCGTGAACAGGACTGTGGCTGGGTACTACTACCTGGAGTGGTCGCTTGAGAAATCCACGCATTGTTAGTGTACCTTTTGAGGTTTGCAGCGGTATTTTGAGCCAAATCGAACGTTCGTGGTGGTTTTGTGGGCACGTTGAATGGGCAGAAATAGTAATCTCGGAGCCCCCGACAAACAAAGGTCGTCGTCGATTCCCGGCACGGGGCCAGCGCGAAACAATTAGTTAGGATTTCCGTGCTTGGCTCCCGTGTGTTGTGTGTGTTTGTGTTCTCTGTGGATACCTACTCCATGATCTTCCTGTCATTGCAACTTGACGTGTTAATTTTTAATCCCTCTTCCTCAGTCTGACCTGGGAACACTGGTGTTTTGTTACAGAAGTCAGCAGAGAAGATAGATACTGTCCTGCCGACTGCGACTCAGCCGCAACATGTATTCTACCCTCCGGGCATGGGCACAGCAGCACATTGGGAGGCTGAGAAGCGCGAACAATGACAGACACATGCTTGGCATTTCCCCCGCACCGCTGGACAGCTGGGATTGGAGCCCTCATCCAGCTCGGCCTTGTTCCCTGGCAATCCAAACAGCTCGACACTAGACCTTGGCGTTGACGATCTAGTATTGCCAGTATTGGCGATGATCGTGTAGGCTGTATAAGCTGTATTATACCGATCACATGTCGTTGTCTGTATGCTTCTCTGTCCAAACTGATGTGGATCATCCATCTAGGGTTAAACAAGACATTGGTCAATCCTAGTGATATCCAGACCACACCCTGGACTGGATCAAGGTCGGAGGCGAATGAAGAGCAGTAGTAGTAGTGATCATCGAGCTAGGCAGCATTCTTGTACATGCGCTATGTCTAGCACAGATACAGCACAGATACAGCACAGATACAGCACAGATACAGTGATAGGAGGTTTGAGTACTTTACAAGTACCGCTGACTTGCATTGGCAGTGGATTGCAGGCTACGTTAGTTACACTGTTTTCAGTGAGCAGATCAGGACAAGTTGTTCGTCTGGTGTGCTGCACGGATGTTCGCGGTGCCCCAATACATAACGCCTCGCGAACTCAAAGGGGAATAGCAATACTGACAGTGACTACGGTATGGATAATGAGCCTTTCCTGACGTTGGACAGTGAATGACCAGGTTGGCTGCCAATATACATGTACAAACACACAAACAGAATGAGATTTAAAAAAAGATGTTATCGAGAGCTCCACTGCCTGCGAACCTAAACTACCTATGCCATACTGATGCACTGACCAGACTGATAGGCTCCAGCAAGAGTGGCCTTCACCCGCGTTTATAATTATTGTCGTTGTTGCTCTTTTAACATCGCAAACGCTTGAGTGCATATTTGGGACATTTATAGATTTAGAAGGCTTGGTACTCGCTCGGACGACCCACGTGACGTACACGTATGTTGCTGTATGCGTGAGCAGCTACATGTACATGTACAGCGGCTTGATAATGGGTGTATGAAGCCGACATGCATAGATTTCGCGTGACATGACTCGTCGCCGATTGGATGCTTGGACTGACCATGCATGTATACAAGGAATCTAAAATTTAATGGAAGATTCAGTCATCGCTACACGGTCACTGGTATGACATATCTCGAGAGTCGAGGCTTCAAGTCCATTGTGATCATGTGATGAAGAGCATCATGTACACTGTAGGTCTACAATCTATCATTGAACTACTGTAGTACAGTACAGACTACAATGTACTGAGATTCTATGAAGATTGTTAGGAAACTCTGGCTCCGGGTAGAATTGGACGTTTCCGTTCCTCCAGTTGTCAGCAGGCAGCTGCGGCTGGAATGGCCACTGCATTCCTAAGCATTTGCATTCAGGCAATGCCGACAGTGGCAGCAACGACGAAGCGGTACAAGTTGTCGAGGCGAGAACATCACTACTACTGTAGCCCAGGCCTAGGCTCTACAAGTAGTAGGAAAGTATGGAGTACTCAACGGACTGCCTACCCGCACAAAGACTTCAATCACTCGTAAAGCTATGGATCACTCAATAGCTAAAGATAGGGATTGGTGCGTGTTGGTATTAATTACTGTCAGCCCCAATGTGTTAACAGCCCGCAACCCCGCCACATTTTTAACGATGAACGCGGGGGAGAGAAGCCCGTTTCGCGACCGCCTCGTTTGCAGTGACAGTGGCATGGAATGAAGGTGCTAATTATGGTAACGCATATTTCACCTCCTGGACAAGCACATAGCTGAATAGTTGGTCATGCAGAGCACATCGAAGCAGCGAACAGTACCTTGAAATACTAGTGGTTTCAAAAAGCTTTCAACGGCCATGGTATCTTTCTATGGCGTTCACTGCTACACACAATACGTACATGTACATGTAGATATGCTGGCTGCCCATCCGAATATCGGAACGAACATCAACCACACACACACACGCGCGCGCGCGCGCGCGCGCACACACACATACACACGCGCGCACGAGCAACCTGGTCGGTCGAATGAACTCTTGCCCCAAGTCTGGAGGGCAATCCAGGCGGCCAAATGAGGAGATGAAGATGTTGTTACTGTACCAGTCCGTTCTGATGTGCATTTACCACTGACGGCTACGCACAGAGCGGAGCATTTACTGTGGTGATGATCAGTACGTGCATGATACTGGTCGATGGTACATGCATTGTCATCGGCTCCGCGCGGGTGGAAAAGACTGTCGAGAATGAGTGTGGAGCGCAGGTCAAAAGAGAGGAAACCGCACCGACCACTCAGAGCATTCAGACGGACGATTGCCTTCAAGAAGAATGTCCAATTCTCCGGCAATCGTTTCCGATGGCGACATGTCTAAGCTACGATACCAGGTCTGACGAGAGATCTCTCGCATCCCAGCAGCGTGCATTGCATGCATTGTATACATTGGCGGCTATGGCAATATGACTTGTTCTCCATGCGGAGTGTGCAGAGAAAAGAAAAGGGATTCACAGCAAACGAGGAACTTAAGCCGCTTACTAGACAGCTTTGGGGTCCATTGGTATTGGCGTGCGGAGGTGGGTATATATTTATCGGGTGAATATGGCGTCAATCTTTGCAGCTCCAATGTTAGTGCACTTGCGGGGAAGTCGCAATCAAGGCGATCGTCGATGCTTTGAGCTTGGACAAGAACGGACCCTCCTGTGTGTTGCCACTATTATAGCGACAGTTTTGGAACTAGGAAGGCCGGCTGATGATGTGGGCGCTCAACAAGTCTCTAGCATCGATCAACTATCACACTGTTCGTGTTACCGTAGTGGTCGATTGCAGCACAGAAACACAAAACTGGATGGGAGTGTCAAGCAGGTGACGAGGTTTTCCCGTGAACTATGTACTGTCTGCAGGCGGAAGACGTTTAGCAGACAGCGCTGGCAAGTGAACTGGCGCGAACACGAACATGGAAATAGAAGAGGAAGCAGTTCCTCGATCTCACTGTTCATACTTCTGTGTGAGCGTATTCACTTGTACACGTTCAGTTCAGCATACGTACCGATGGAATTCACACCTCACGGGCTCTTGCCAGGATCAGGAGTGGGGTAATTCTTGCGTGGCGTGTACGAACATTTCCTATAATATTGTCATGTGCCATATGTGCCTGGTTCCTCCCAAGAGGGTGGAAGCAAGAAACAATGAATCTCGTCCGAGTGTCAGTTACACCAGGGGCGGCCCCTCGGCTTCTTTGGTTGAAGCTCTTTCCCTTTCTCGCCCAGTTTTGCGCGACCAATACTTATCAAAACCTTCACGGGGCTTCCTTGAACACCTAGTTGTCGACAGTATTTGGAGTCAAGGAAGTCAGCTATCGTCGTCGGAGCATTATGTAGTGCTGTAAAGAGTATCTATCCGCCATTGCACCCAAACACGGACAGCTAACTAGTGAGTGTATCATCCCATACGGTGCAATAACTCAGCTAATGTTACGGTGGTCGTTGGATTTTGTCAACAGTTTGCCATTCTTCTGACCAACGGGCGGAAATGAAGTTTGATCTCTGCATAACATTATTAACAAGGTTATCATCGGCGAGAAGTGGATGTGGACAGCATTCGTGCATGCAAAGTCCTTGAGTCGGCTAATAACCACGTGGCCGAAGAGAGCCTATTTACATTTTACAGCATGGTGCATGCAGCTATCATTATGTATTAAAACGTCACATTGTTCTCTGGCTAGCAACCGTAAGTATTGCACTAAAAGTAAATATCACGAGGTCACTTGCTTATGATACTACCACCAGACCATAACTATGTTCCTGGCGATGGCTTCACCAACGCAATTCTGATGACTGGACATGCCGCTCAATTTACCTCCTGTTCTCTCCGCTCATAAACATTCCACGCAAAGCAATACTAAGCATCATATGCGAGTGCATTTCCAATTACTTTGGTTAGAAGGTGAATACTTATTTGTTGACTGTAGCAGCCACCCCTCACCCGACATCACCTTATCCCCATGATCATGGGAAAGAAAGATCGGGTTGGTTCCCAAGTATCGTAATTCAAGTGATGTGTCCCACACACATGTACAATGTACATGTGCATCACAACACAGGAACAGAGAACATGATAGGTGTTGGTTTGATGTGCCAGTTACTATCTCCCTGGGTGGGCACAGCCCACGCCAGAGACGATACTTTCCTAAAATGAAGAGTGAAATTCGTGAAAATAATTATTTTATGGCGAAAAATGCCCAGCTTATCACGTCTTGCGAATCAACGCTGCCTAAGTAGTGGAAATAACAAGTGACAACATGCTATATTATGGGAAATTCGTGTGAATTGCTTTGTGTGAGGGTGATGTGAATTGTTAATTCAACTTGGAAGCAATTGCTACATGTCCATAATCTCCAACGAGTGCAGGCAATATCAGCAGCCATCATTCGATCAAGATCAACAAACACAGTAAACGAACTTGCAGAGATTTATTAGTAGGTGAAAATATTGTACATGTATCATAATCTGTGGAGTTCTTCAGAGTTTCAGATTGGCTTGATGGTCTGTAATCGCTGCAATTGCAGTGCGTGATGCACATACAGTGCTTGTGTACTGTTCGCTCATGGTTGCTAGTATAATGTACGCATTTCGGGAGTTACTCCTTAGTGTCCAGGATATGACTGGCTGGCAACGTGAAGTTGTGATGTTGAAATGGCGAAACGTGAAGGGAATCACTGGCACCTAGCCATTCTGAGCTGTGTGCTTCCTGCTCATTTTGCTGTTGAAATCGGGTGCATCCATTATTCTGAGCAGTCAAACGTGGTCACTGTTTTGACTGTCCCATAGATAGCGGTGGTGCTGGCCAACACACGCTGCTGTAAAAACCTTTCTCGGAGAGACGAGTAGATTGCTCGTAAACGATGATGCACGTTAGAATAGGGCTTTGGAGGCGAGCTTCAAGACGGAGATAACCTTGACAAGTGTGAAAACGCAGCTGGAGAGAGTGGGGGTGGGGGTGCTCTCTGTTCTCGCCTGGTAACAGGGCAGAGGTCAGGATAACATCAGTCTCTCTGCTGACTGCTGATATCCTATGACGTGCGCCAGCTTGTCAAGTGCTGCTGCTGCTGCTGTGGTTGAGACAGTGTTTGTTGCTGATTTAGCTGGTTAGTAGAGCTTGCAGGAGCAGCTACGGCTACCCCGTTGCCACCATTGCCCGCTGAAGGGAAACCACCGTCTTCAAACTGCTCCCCGGACGAGAGAGGTCCGTCGCACTCCTCCCACTCTTCCGTGTCTTCCGTCATATCGTTGGCCCCTGACTGTGACGTGGTGGAGGATTTCTCCATGCAGCTGTCCGCACTCTGGCTCTCAGCCGAGCCGGGACGCTGTCCGGAGGTGGTGGCTATTTCGCGCTTCCACTTGTTTCGTCTGTTCTGAAACCAGACTTTCACCTGAGTCTCGGTCATCTTCAGTGATAATGCTAGCTGAAGGCGATCGTTGGAGGACAGGTAGCGCTTCTGGTTGAACGTCAGTTCCAGCTGATCGATCTGGGAACGTGTAAACACCGTTCTAGTCTTCTTTTTCTTCAGCTTCAGTTGGCCCAGACCATAGACGTGCGGACGCTGTGCTGCAGCCGCAGCCGCCGGATTCAGGCCCATCCCCATGCCCGCCGCGCTCGTGTTGTCGTATCCATAGCAGCCGACGTTGCAGGAGGCGGCGGCCGTGGTTTGATAGCTGGGCTGCATGGCAGCGGGTGTCGTCGGGTGCATGATCCCTGGACACAGCACACAGGCAGAGCACGATGGCACAAACAGAGTATGGTGAGTGATCGCGAAGCATTTCTCGATCTCTACATCCACCGCTTTTTGTGGAGTGCCCGGCGCACTACCAATAGAATGTCACCCTATTAAAACTGTTCGCGGTTGCTGGGGTGAGAGGAGCCAGCACTTGCAGGTCTAAAGTTAAAGTCGACCAAGTCCTCGGTTGACTCAGTCCTAGGAGAGCAGACACGAAAGAGGAAACCGCGAGAGCCACTCGCGCCGCACATCGTGGCCATATCATGTTGAAACAAAGCATTCAGTCTCACGCCAGTGAATACAAGCCACGCTATCAGTCAAGCATATCAATATAGAAATACACACACACACACACACACACACACACACACACACACACACACATAAATACACACAAGCATAATGATACACATGCACGCACGCACACACACAGCAGAGACGCAGCACCAGTGGTCAGGATGTTGGCGACCGCCATTGCAAAACACCGTGCTTGCTACACGAACTGTGCCGCACTATGGCACGGAGTCTTTGGCTCTAGCGCAGGAAACAATTGCCGGTGCTGGGGCTCAATGCCAAGCAGCGCTGCGGCCTGGTGCGGAATTACACCAGGGAATTCAGGGGTTACTGCTCGTTGGGAGATCTGGCAAAGCGCCTGGCAGGAAGACTACGGGGAGACCACGGCAAGATCACAAGACGCTGGAGAAGCTTTTCAACACAAGGCTGAGGCTGCTCAGACACTTCGGCTTGGATGCAAACATCCATCCTGAGTCTTGCCAAAAAGTAACAGAGGTTTGAGTTAGGAAAGGTGACTGTACGTTATCGGGAGTCTCAGACTACATCTCTCTTCTCATGTGTTGATGGAAGCAGGATACAAGAACAGCACAGTGCCCGGTCGCCCAATACTACACACCTAATCATGTCACTGTGTGGAAAAAGGCTGATTCTGTGCAGAGTGCACCGCTACCAATCGCTTTATTCAAGTGCTCATTGTGTACTTGTAATTGTCCATTATCATCCATGCCTTAACTAACTTGGCTGAGGTTCTAACTCTCAGTCACTTCCCCCATACCATACCAGTGCATTGTACTCATGTCATGACCGATCATGTGACATCGCAATCATGTACATGTACGTGATAAATTAAGTGGATGAGCATTTGCTGTGGGAATGCTGGGTGGGTGGCTTGGGTGGCTTCAAAGTCAAGGGGGTAGGGTCGTTAGGATTGCAAAGGATATGTGCGGGAAATGCTATAGAAACTTCCGAAGTCGTCACACAATCCGCAAGTCCGCGTCCCGTTGACTGGCCCCTGATATTTGCTTCAACATAGGACTGCATGGACATTGTTTACAGTGTAGTGGGCATTACCATGCCTCTGTGAAGTGTGAACAATGTCCTGGAGGCCGGCTGAAGTCACGGTCTTCCACACCGTGAACACCCTCTAGAAGTAGAAGTGTTTGTGGCAAAGGCCATACGGGTCCACGACCATGCATACGTGCTCTTTGTCTCCCCTCCAACCTGCAGTGGCTTGCTTCGCCCATCGTCCACATCCAGCCTATTGAACCCATACCCGTGCATCGATGCTTTCCCTACAATGTGTAATAGATATGTAGGAGTACCTCACGAGCAACGATGATGTTTATTAGTAGATTGAAGATAACACCAACAGTCAACACCCATACACTCCCTCCAGTGTTGCATGTTCCCGATCGGTCCCACAGCAGAGCGTGTGATGTACTGACTGGCGTCAACAAGGACACCAGCATACTTGATTTCCCGGCAAGACCGTTTTGCCAAGATGATCTCAGGTGATACCAACCCGATTTCGCTGATCTGCTCAACCGCTGAGTAACAGGCTCGACATTGTCCATGCAGTGTGGATGCTGTAGTATTACTATTAGCACTATCGATATAATTATCACATTGTGTACGTGTGTGTATTAATTATTAGCAATTGACACTTTGTAGAGCCAAGCGCTGACAAACGCCGGTCGCCACTTAGCCTCTCGTGTCGATCGCTTCGCTACAAATCGATTGTGATTGGGCAGTTTAACTAAGTCATGAAGACTGATTGCACGATATCCTTGCTGTTCGGATTCATGAAGACCTTCACTGTGAACAGGCTCCACAACTAACTTAGTACATGTACAAAGAGCCACGATCATCTCCAGTCTAGTCGCATTTCATTCGATGATTCTCTACACTTGGCGGCCTGAATCGCTTATCCAGCACTCAGTTGTCGTAGTTATGGCAAGCTCTTTCACACTCTACATCCCCTCTTGCACCGATGATTCACCCTTGTGTGGCGCGTCTCGGTTTGATTCATGAACGAAGAGGAATGTTCCTAACATCCTCCCTTTCTGCCAACAGCGATCTTAACCACATTTCCTCTACTGGTGTTTTGCACTTGAGGTGAACAAAGAATCTTCAACTGCAATGACGGCCCCTGATCCTCGCTAGGGAAGGTTTAATGCAAGTACACGCGCCAAGCCCACCTCTGAGTAGCGCTGCAGTCTCATCAACCAGTTAGTTCTACTCTGATGTGGGGCCCACAGCGCGCGCAGGCAGGGCGGTCGTTTTCGAGCGTCTTGTGGCAGTTCCACAGCCGACTGGTGTCACCAGTGGCTAACCGATGTGCACAGTGCACATCGGTTAGTTCCTTGCTTAGCAAACAATTAAAAGGAGCAGGGCTTTGCGTCGCCAAGTGGAACAACTGGCAGCAGATATCCAACAGCTCGTCGAAATGCGTGTTTTCGCTGCGCGATTGTGTGCGGATTATGCTGCCTCTCAGAATACCCAGCGCTGCAGTCAAGCCACGGGTTCACTATCCAGTTTGAAGTTCAACACAGAATCATCATCATGATGAAAACATGATCATAAAAGAAGGTGTTACTGCTGTTTGTGCTGTGACCTTCAATAAAATTCAACACTGTGTCGCTGGTCTACGCCAAGGCCAGTGTCCCTCCTGTTCGAGTCCCGGTGGTGACAGCAACATTAATTCTGTCTTCAGACTTTTCTCATTTTCTTTCCCTCAAAGGAATATCATGAGTTCATTGCACTACTAATGTTTCAAACTTATGTAGAGAACAATCTGAAGATTTCAGGAGGGAGCCCAGTTTTTTAAAGGATCACAAACGTCTGCATGTTTAGAAGGTAGCGTTAGTAATTCGGAATCGCACGCTCTTTTGAATTCCCAGCCCGTGTGCTTACAAAGTTTAAAACACACATTGTTTTTGTAACTGACCTTCAGTGCTGCTAGTGGTCTGCTGGGGTAACGTCCATCTCGTGTCCTGGTAGAAAGCCAAAGGTTGCCATGTGATGGGTGAATTGCCTGGTGGTCGGAGGATGGTCGCACCAGTGACAGCCGGGGTGAACTGGTTCGGCCCTTGTGCCAGTGCCAAGTTCATCCCATTGGTCGGCGGTGGCGCTGCTGCTGCTTGCTGTGCCTGAGGAAGATGTGGCGCTGGAATTGGTGCTGCTGCTGGCGTGGTGTTATTAGCAGCTGTAGAGCAGGGCATCATGTTCGTGGTGTAGCCGTTGCAGAACGCAGCGCGGAGTGCTGCCTCCTGGGCCACTGCCGACGTGAGAGCAGTCTGAGGAACGACGGGGTTGCAACCGTTGACGTGCGTCAATCCTGGATTGACACTATCGCCTAAGATCGAGTGTATGGAGAACTTGTTGGTAGTCATCATGGTCGCCATATCCGACAATCTGAACGCCAAATTCAGGCGTACCTATTGGCCTTATCAGTATTTCTGTGTATTGATTGCGTGATGTGATCTGTTGTTGGACAGAAAGCGGAATAATCCCTTGAGGTCTGAAACGAACTGGAAAAGCAGTACAGAGAGGAAGGTGCGCGCTGATCAGCTGATACTATTAGTCAATGGCAGGAGGAAAGTCCTGCAAACTTGCTGCTATTGGCTGCGTGTCAATCTGAACTCTGTGGTCGAACCACTGGCATACTTATTGCATGCCCGGAAATGCCGTCTCGGCGAGTGGCTGCCTGCCAGAGTGCCTGGGTGCTGCGTACCTGTGTGCCTGGGTGTCGGTCTCTGCGATCCGACATGCACTGCACTGCTAGCCCGTACTACTTACTACTGGTCGTAGCCTGGCTGCTGGCTCGCCAGCCAGCAGCACCTGCCCCTACCTATGCAATGCCAGGGGACGGCATGTAGCAACGGTTGATCATCGCTGATCGCGATCAGTACAAGACTGCTCATGTTCATACAGGATGAACTGTGTCAGTACAGGAGGCACTGCTTCGTATGCACTTACACAGCGAGACACGGTATTATGCTGCAGTAATCATGGCTCAATCGTGTTCTTTGAACATTGGCCGCGCGCGCTTGCTGCAGCGATTCATTAAACATTCCCTTTCAGCGAATTTCACTACGTATCGTCCCAGCATTAGGTTATCACTAGTAGTAGTATCAGTCAGCATCTGTGACTCATGGATCGTGCATACTGACTCTGCGGTAAAAACCAAGGCCAGGGAGAAAGATAGAGGGGGAGGAGGGTGGTAGGAGTGAGCTGGGCGGGCAGAAACTTGCAATATCCTGTCGAATACTGAATTATACAGCGTGTACGTAGCGGTAACAGCAGCATGCAGCTCTTTCAGTCCGGGGTCATAAATGGAGTTCAGCTGGTAGCACATTTGCTCCGTCGCAATGCTCTTCCCCCCTCTCCCGGCAATGTCAACCCATGCAAGCCTACAGTTCTGTTTCATTTTCAACTTGAAATGACAGGTCACGAGGGTCATCACGAACCCCACATGTATCGGTGTTATGGTGTTCCTCGAGTTTGAGGTGTCCATACCGCTGTACTGAAGTGTATGTTCACATGGTACAGTAGGTCTAAACAGATGCATTGTCATAACTCCAAACACAGACCGTGTACTGGAGTGTGGGGCCTCCCTCTGTCCTTGGTCTGCTTATGGAAGGGTTGCCCTGCATGCAAGATTCGTGTGCCCTCGATCCTTGGAAACTGCGCACAAGCGAGCAATTGCCCGGCCATGCTCCGTCGCTCAGCCACCCTCAAGATCACGCTGCCCAACACGAATGCACACGCAACAGCTTTCTGGCTGCTGCCTGCACTGCTGGTATAGTTACAGCAAACAGTTACATGACTACATGTAGTCATCTAGACTGAGCTGAGCGTAATATGGGAACTATTAAAATGCAGGGGAAGAGTGTGTTGCTCCCTACATATTAAAACGCAGACCGTTGAAAACAGCATAGTGATCAGAAATGCTGGTAATTATGGCTGCATTGTTATGTCGATGACCACTAACTACGACCGTGGTTTTCACGATTAGTGACAACAACGAGCTCGTCTGTCCCTCCGGCAGGCAAATTTCACGCTCCGCACCAATGCTAGCCTCGCCTCGCACTATTGTGACAGGGCCTGGCCTGGAAACGCACCCGAAACTGGCGCAAAATGGCACCCCCTGTGCCCTCTAGACCAAGCCGAGCATAGGGGGTGAAAGGCAATTAGCTGCGTTCGAACGGCGCAATTTGTCCCACTATTAACGGTTGCAATTAGTTTCAACTTTTAGCGCGTATCATTGGCATTCAGAATTCATGGAGTGTGCTCTGCAGGTTAGCAATGAAAGGGAAGACATGACGTGACCCATAAAATCTAAAATGAAAACAAGATGAAACATCACACTTGCACGTTAGCAATCAGCGCTTCTCCAAACTCACCTATTGCTGTTAAACTGTTCTGCAATGTACATTTGAGCACCACTATCAACACTTGTCCATGTCCAAAAGTGGACAGTTCCTGAGCGTTTACCCGCGCCAAGTACAAATTAATCCACTGCTTGTGTATGAGAGTGCCAGAAAACTTCGTAACATCTATAGTCGAGCACCCAGAGAAACAAGAGGTCAAGCGATGCGCTTAGTGAGCTTTTCAGCGTGTAACGCGGGCTATTTGCATTGTTAGGGAGAGTCCATCGACACTGCATTGAGTGCCTGAAACGTCTTCTCAACGATACTTTACCGTGACCTGCGGCTAGACACGTCGGAGATCGTCTCCAATACATGAACACAATTCCCGTATTGTAACATCATTCTCGTAACAAAGCTGTTGCCCATAACGCTACACGTGACAACAGGTCCGGAGAAACATCTCGACACGTCTACCAATTCGTTGTCTTCGTTGGCCGAAGGATACTCTACCTGAGACCAGAAGAGGGAAGCGCCTCATCACTGCATAGTTATCGATACACATTATGGGTTAACATGAGTGTGTCAGCCGGTGAGGATGGCGGTTGGGAACAACGGATTGTAGAGGAAAAAAAAGTGAGAAGAATAGAATCCACTTCAGACGCGAAGGCGGATGGCGAGTTTAGTGCTGTGATGTGTCGGTAAACGCCTGGCGGGAGGTGTTCAGCTGTGACAGTAACATTAGTGGTTATGATAGGCAATACAGACCGGACTATTCTATTGCGCCAATCACTGATTAATTTGAAAATAGCTGGGGAAGTATGCAGACATGCAGCACCATCGAGGCTACATACTCAGACGGGAGGCTGTGCTGAGGGGCTGGCGTCCCAGCACACGCAAACTAGCATCGAAGTGGGGGTTCAATGTCCAGAAGGCACTGCTGTCTGGACTTGATCATGGCGGTAATTCACTGAATTCCCCAGTCGAGTCCGCTCCAACCTCTGCGACTACACATCCTCTAGTAGCAGTAGGTGAGCTAGATACCACGGCAAGGAGTAGCATGCTGGTGTTCGCTGCAACAAACTATGAATTATTCACATGGCATCTCCCCTGCCTTGATTTCTGTGACACTGTTGCATTGAAAGCGAGGCTTGGACTGGATGAGGCCGACAGAAGAAGCGAGGAAGCGGCATTTGTGCGTGGATTGCTTGAACAAACCTAAGTGACGACGCCCAAGCCACACGCAAAAGCGTGGGCAGTAGGTTTACAACTAGCACCAGTACAGGCACTACTAGTACTAGTAGTGTAGCTTGGACACAATTGCTGGGACTATTGCAAGTCCCTGGACCCATCAGTTGTGCCTCGTTCACAGGCCTGGTCTTTCCTCATCTTGCCTGTTGGCACCAAACAGTTTCAGAGCAGTTTGCCAGTCCAAGTCGACGAGATCTGCACCGCTGAGCTGTGTGCCTGAGATCCTGAATAGCTCAAGCGATTCGGTCCAGCGGCGCGGGGGCGGCAATAATGGTTTCAGAGAACACGTCAATGCTATAATATTATCACTACTGGCAGAGGTGGTGCTGTGGTGCAGAGCATCCTACATCGCAGACTAGATAAGCTCAGTACCCATACTAGTACTACCAGATAACTACAGAGTACTATCAACAATGGCGACAACCTCGACTACAAAACAATTCACGTACATGTACATGTACATCTACAACAGTGTGGTGACGATAGCTTTTAAACAGCATGCAGTGTTTAACCAAATCGCAAATACTGCACTTCCAGATTTCGAGCACAACATTGTACATTGTATGAACAGCATCAGCTCTGTAGACTGTAGTTACTTAGGTCAACATCAGCTCTGTAGTTACTTAGGTCAACATCAGCTCTGTAGTTACTTAGGTCAACATCAGCTCTGTAGTTACTTAGGTCAACATCAGCTCTGTAGTTACTTAGGTCAACATCAGCTCTGTAGTTACTTAGGTCAACATCAGCTCTGTAGTTACTTAGGTCGGATTCTCGGTGAGCATGCGACTACGATCGAAGACTAAGTAAGGAGATGAAACGCTCAAGACACAATCAGCACGGAGTAGTATTATTGGCGATCACTATGCATACACGTCTCCAGCGCTACAGTACTGGTAGAGGTTTAGTCCAGAGAGCGGAGTATACCAGTCATACATGTACGTTCTCGTCAGTCCAAGAACGAGATTGTTTTTCGGTGGCATTTTATGTAGGGGTAAAGATGGGAGGAAACGATGCTAGACCTCCTTGTAGTTAGTTTCAGTTCTTGACATCATGCAGGGGCGTGTAGCACTGGTTAACGCTGTCGAAACCCACACACAGCGACTCCTCGACCACTGCCCACCGAGCAACGGACAGACTTTGCCCCATGCGCGTTTCCCTTGTTGTGACCATGCAAGGAGTTCGTTGACTAAACACTTCCTCCTCGCAGCATACCCCACGTGCACCACCCAAAACGTTAAAGCATTTCATTTTCTCCTTCAAAAACCGCCTCAGCAGCATCTGCGCACCAGAAAGAAGACGCGAAGGCATCAATCCAGAAACGACTTGCACTTGTTCTCTCGTGTCGCTTGACTTCCAGAAGTAGTTACATCAATACAGCGTGTACACAGCACAAAGAAGTCGTTTCCGCTGCCCCGTGCGTGATTGGATAGTTCGTTGAAACTTTGCAGTTCGTCCTCTTCCTGTCGACGTGTCGTCGAAAGCAGCCCATGCAGCATGCATCGGAGTTGACTTCATCGAGTTCATGCCCTAGCAGTGTGCATTGTAGATCTACTATAGTCTATACAATGTGCTAGTACAATTCGCCAGAATGACAGTGATCAGGATAAGAGCCCACAGAGTCACAGACCCGGCAGCATTTTAAGCACTGCATGATGATGACACGTCCTTGAACGGTATGACTAATGGAGATGTTCGCTGGATGACGATTAGGGGATTCACTGTCAAACTGCACTGACAGGACGTCGAAAGAGTTCGAAGTAATACAGCTTTTAACTATACAGCTATGCATTGGCACGATTATCAAAGTCATATCCAAACAGGACATGTACAGGTAGTGAACGCGATCTCCATACTTACACGTGACGTAGTTGATCGACATGCACATGCACAGCACAATACGGTCATACATGTACACGTATACTTAACCATAGAGAGAAAGGAGGCTGTGCCAGAGTTAAACGAAATTTCCGAGCATCAGACATGCATCTGTAGCGCCTCTTCAGCTCCACAACATTTACCATTGTATTCCACGTAGAACATAGACAAGCATGCCTTCCAATCCTTCATCATAATTATAAAAGCCTCTATACTCTCT